TCATCTTTCTTATTGGATTAAAAGAAAGTGAAATATAAGAGGTTACCATAGCAACTTTGGTCTCATAATCATTGGAAATCTGGATACAAAATTCTTCAGCTCCTGCTTGACAAACTCGCTCTACCACTTCTTTCCACTGCCTTTGCACAAGAGAATGCCAGCTCTTCCAGACTTTCTTCAGTAACATTCTCTGGAAGTACTGGTCAGTAGTTTACCTTCATAAACCTAAACAAAAGGAACATACAACCTTAAAACCACAGTGGACTGGTGGATGTACTGGTGGTAATAACAGACATTCACGGTGGTAAGTGTACACACAGGATCATTCAACCCTAGTCAACCATACTGTACTCAAACTGCACCTGGGAGGACAGGCTTACCAGGTAGGAGACAGGCCTCAGTCACATATGGGGGATGGGAAAAGCCAGACCTGCCTTATCCCTCCATCATGGTTTAATGCAGCTAATCAGGTCAGGGGAAAAACAAAAACCCAAAGCAAAGAAAACCAGAAACTTGCCAATTTAGCTATGAATTTGCATGACCTTTTAAATAAATATTTGTTTTCAATATGAGTCACTTGACAAATTACTTTCAAAGCATGGCACATTCATTTTAAACAACTTGTTTCAACATAATGAAGGCAGAGCTGAGCCATTGGGATTAATTAAAACACAAAAGCACTAGGAAATACTCGTGCTAGTTAACCTGGAATGTCAATGTGGCTGGATTAAGAGGCTCTGGAAGTTGATTAGATGGTCCACTGAGGCCCTCCCAGCTGAATGAAGGCCTGGTTGGAGGACAAAGATCGCTGAAGGAGTAACCTAGAAGAGTGCATTCTCATCCTGGCCTCTTCCCCTTGCCTGGCCCCTCCCCTGCTCTCTGTTCCTGGCTGGGAGGGGGGCTGCTAAGGAACTTTCCTGTATCATAACTTCTGGTATGGGCATTTGCGCCTTGGAACCAGCTATCCTGGGCCCAAACGTGAGTGAAATAAACCTCTTTTTTCTTTAAACTGCCAGTGTCAGTTATTTTTTCCCAGCACAGAAAGCTGACCAATACAAATCCTTAAAGAAAAATTCTATTCCATGATAACAATAACTTTTTCCTAAATACATACTAATCTCTTGGAACCTAACATAAAGAAACTACTCCAAGCTCACAGGAACATACATACATGGAAATATTTATATCCTTCCCTTATATTTATGACTGACTCTCTCTCTCTCTCTCTCTCTC